ATTTGCATAATTGCAGAAAACATAGGGATAGCTCAGCAAAGCAACCAGTAGAACTGCCACTGAATGTAAAACTATTTATTATTAGACTCCTAGAGATAAAGATAAGGCTTCAAATGTCACTGGTCTTATATATATGGTTCTGTGAGTAATCTGTCCTATCTCAACAAAATGAAAAGTAGAACTATTAAACAGTAGACTTGGAGTTAGGAAACTTGAGTTTCCTTATGAGCTTTATGACCCTGGGCAAATCCTGAGCCTTAGTTTTCATACCTGTAAAATGGAAATAAAATATTTACACCAACTCACATAGTGATTTTAGGAAAGTGCTTTATAAACTGAAGAGTGTTTTGTAAAAACAAACTGTTATTGCATATGCTCCCCTGACCTTCCTTAACCCCCACTGAGACTTTTTTCCTTGGATAAGTTCATCAGCTTTTTTTAAACAGGCCACATCTATCATTTCTTTCACCTCTCTCTCCTTCGGGGTCATATGACTGTTCTCTGGCCTTGGTTCAGGTTCTGCTGAAATTTTAGAAAGGAGGGGAAATATTCAATGAACACTGTCAATCTAGTTGTGACACCAGGTCCATTTGACCATTAAGGCTGTGATGTCCAGGATGGGAAATTTTGATTAGCAAAATCTTGTCAAATGCAAACTCACTTCCCAAGTTACCAATCAGTTTCAGGTTATGTGATGGCCCTCCCAAAATTGACATTTATATATTTATATATTTATATATTTATTTAGTTATGTGTTTCTTAAATGTAATAAAGAATCATCAGGACATATTTTAATGGGTCTAGAAAACCACTAAACAGTTAAGCCTAGGAGCATGATTGACAAATAGTAGTTCTTTAATTTTTATTGGGCACCTACAACAGCCTGTCTGCACGAGAATTGTCATTCTAAGATTATGGTTGTTTATTCCCAGCTCCAGTCCTAGTTCTAGCACCAGTTGCCCTTCCTATAATTTTAAGCAAATGATTTGTTGTCATTATTCATGTAAATGAGCAAGAAGCTGCTTACTCAGGCCAGTGATGGAGAGTCAATAGTTTCTTTCAAAGAAAATGGCTATATTGTTGCTATTGTTCTTAGCAAGCCATCTTTATTTTTTGTTTGCCTTTAATCAGACTTTCCCTTTTAATCTAGCCTTTCTGTTTTCAAAAAAAGGAAGGGAAAATGCATCTCCCTGATCTCATTTTAGTCTCTTTCATCTTAGCTACCATGAAGCCCAATCACTTCCTCCAGGAGGTAAATTTGTAGCTATTTTGCCTCCAAATACCTTAAACCTTGAAACACTGATCAGTCTTGCCTCTAGAATCCCTTCAAAATATGTTACCAAGAGAGGAGGGAAAAAATCTGTAGGAATATAGCGGCTGCTGTGTGGCTAGCCTTCTGCTCCTGACACCTGCCCTTTCTGTAGCCCCTCCCCCAGGTCTGGATGGAGTCTGCTTTAAAGTGAAATGACAGACCAGGACAATAACAACAACATCTCCAGTAACCCTTTTGCTGCTCTCTTCAGTTCCCTGGCCGATGCCAAGCACTTTGCAGCGATCCAGAAGGAACAGCTGAAGCAGCAATCTGGTAAGTGTATGCACCAACAGCAGCAGACAAGATGACCCAGAATGGGGACTTTCCAAATCCAGTATGCCTGCGGGCCAAAACTAGAAATGGAATTAGAGTTTGTAACAGATAACAGTTTTTTCACAAAGGAAAAGAGCCAGGGTTAACAGGTGGCTCCAAGGGGACAGATGCTGGTTGTGAACCTAGAGCTGTCAAACTGTCACCTTTTCTAGTACTGTCAAAAAGCACCTCGTAAAAATGTCCTAAATTGTCTTCTTTTTAACATGATCAGCGGAGGGTATTTCAGTGTAGGAAACAAGCCATGTGTATTGTGTAAAGGGAAGAGCTAGAAGAGATTTTTGACCTGAAACTAGTAAATAATCAAAAAATGTTGGTCGTAGGTTCACTGCCACAAAGGTCCTCTCAGAGGGAACTCTTCTTATTCTACATGTTGGGATCTATTATATTAAAATGCTATTTGAACAAACCCTTTAAGAAAGCAAACTGATCCCAAACTCTAATGTAAAAAATCAGGAGGACAGCTAGGTGTCAAAGTAGATAGAGCATTAGCCCTGGAGTCAGGAAGTCCTGAGTTCAAATCTGTCCTCAGACACATAACACTCACTACCTGTGTGACCCTGGGCAAGTCACTTAACCCCAATTGCCTCACCAAAAAACCAAACAAACAAATCAGACAGCTTGATATAGTGGAAAGAAGACTCTGGAGTCAAAGCGCCTGGATTCAAAACCTGTCTATAACCCTCACTACCTGTGTGACCCTGGGCAAGTCACTTAATCTGTACAGACCTCAATTTCCTCATCTGTAAAGTGAGGAGATTGAATTAGATGGCCGCTGCAATCCCAGCTCTGGAGTCTTATGATTATGGTTCTGACAGAATATAGTCACTTCCACTAATCAGAAAATGGCCTCTCTGACCCGGGACCAGACAGGATGATTAGCCATCTGCCATTTTTACATGTAGAATAGAAAGAATGGATGATGTTCCTTAATCACCTTGAATGTTCCCATAATACCCTCAATACCATAGTGTGCTTCTGTCAAAGAAAAAAAAGAATATATCACAGGGTTTCCATTCTTCATCATTAGTGAAGGAGACTTACTGACACTTCCACCTTATTTTTTCATTTCAGGAATGATTGGAGAGATGCTTATCTGAATTATAGGCTCTCTTGTTGAAGGAAAGTAAAGGTTAAGAAGAGAAAAGAGTAGTAATATACAACATGAAAAAGAGAATGAAGTGGGGTAAAAAGTAATTAAGAATAGAGATTTGTGTTTTCACATGTAATCTTTTTTGTTCTACTCTGTATTTTGAAATGTTCTCTTTTTTTGGTGTTTATTAAATTCAGAATAAAAGATAAAATTTAAAAGAAAAAAGAATTAGGAAAGATTTTTGTATTGATGATATTGAAAAGTTTGAGGGAGATTTTTAAGCTCCTTCCATAGTCTGTTATGCTTCTGATGTCCTAGCACCTCCTTCCCTACTTCATAAGAGATTAGGGGGATTAAAGAGGAGAGAAATTGAGAAATGAAAAACAGTAGAAAATGAAGTAATAGAAAATATATTCCAAGTGGGCTGGCCGGTATCAAACTCACTGTAGTAAATAGGAAAACCTGTATGGTTTATGTACATATGGAAGCAATAGTGCTGAACAGTATTCCCTTTCTGGCTGTAAGCAAAAGTTAGATGATCTGAAATTGGGAGCGGGGCAGACAGCAAACAGTGGCAACAGTTCTGGCATGTGCTCTGTTGGGACTAGGCTGGCATCAGGACTATTTCAGTTCCCCTGGGCTTATCATGCCATCAGGTCCAACTTGTTTTCCATCAGCAGTTAATACTGTGCCAAAAGCTTTAGCTTCCTGCTCTGAAACTCATTCTTTATAAACCCTACTACAGAAAAAACAGAGCCTGCTTCTGAATGGTCTCACTGGATTTTCAGAATGTGATTCCATCACTTTGTAAGAAAGAACTGACAGGCCCAAAATAGTTTGTGGCTTTTAAGGAATGACACTACTTTTTCAGTCTTCCTGTGTGGTACCATACCTGCATGAGGTAGCTTTTTTAAGATGCTTTTTAGAAAATTAAGGGAGTTATACTTTGGTAAGTTAACACTGACTTATTTCCAGGATTCTATAGGGAAGCTTATGTTGCTATTTTCGTAGGTACAACTATTTATATTGGGGGGAAAGGGGAACCCAACCTTTTCTCTTTGTAAAACTTGACAGTGGTCACAGTTAAAGTTGGGCTTTGGTATTCTGCAGTTTACTTGCTTTGCCTTAAGTAGTTAATTGATAAATTTAAAATCCCACATTGTCCATTTCTCTGTCTTCTTTTCTACCTTCCTGGTATTGGGCTGTTTTCTTCCCCAGAGAAATATATGTTTACAAGATCAAATTTTCTGGCAGATGAACCCTCCGCTAGCCCTGACGACTCAGATAACAGTGTGTCGGAAAGTCTGGATGACTGTGACTATTCTGTCTCTGAGATTAGCCGATCATTCCGTTCCCAGCAGGAGATATGTGAGCAGCTCAACATCAATCACATGATCCAAAGGATTTTCCTCATCACCCTGGACAACAGTGAGTCATCAACTCTGTCCATTTTCATAGCTGCCTTATTCTAACTGAGATCATTGTTGGATGTTCCTTATAATCTTAAAAAACTATGATGCTTTCTGGAATAAGGAGTTACATCTCAGGGGAGCATCTTACCAGCACAGACTTGTTCAGCATCCTTCCTTGTCTTTAACTTCCCTCTCCTTTATCCAAAGAAATTGTGAACAGGCAGTAAGACTAAGTCCCAGTTATATCACTTCTTACTCATCTAAAAAGTGGACATAATAGATATTCCCACTTTCTTTCCAAAGGTGGCATATGCATGCATTACTGTTTATGAATGAAAATATAGCATTCTTTCCTCCACCACGTTCTATCTGTGGTGGAACTCCAGAAAAATTACTGTCGTCCTATCACAAAAGCCTTTCTAAATATCATGTTATTGTTGGATTTATGACAAGACATAGTTTTTTGTAACCAGTAAGAAGATTTTTATCTTCAGTTCCCATACTTCTTTCTGTTTATTGGGACCACTGTTATGTCATCTGAGAACTCAGAAATTAGTAGAAATGCTGCCATGATTAGCATTCAGAGTAAGATAGAGACATATCCTTAATAGATAAAAAACAATTTGCAGGTGACCCAAGCATGAAAGGTGGTAATGGGATCCCCAGCCGCTGTGTGTATTTGGAGGAACTGGCAGGAGACTTGGACGAACAAGACTGGCTTGATATGAACAACATTGAGCAGGTATTGTTTTTATCTTGTTCTCTGGACAAGAACAAGTCATATGTAATTGTGAAGGAAGCTGGATGCTAAGCCCCTACAGCTTGTCATTAGGCTTTTAAAACTCCATGAGTCAGTAGTGACTTCAGAAATAACACAGGAAAACCCCACATACTGGCTGCTAAGAGCAAGCATAATTACTGTTTCTCCAAAAGTTTGATGTAAGAAAAAACAAGTATAGTTGATCAAGTTAGACAGCCTCCCATGGGACATCAAATATCTTGATACCCCATGGCAGGAATAATTCTTTGAATTGAAAAGGCAGTGTTTGGTTTGTTTTAAATGTGGTTCCACTGCTAATCAATCAATAAACATTTATTAAGCACCTACTATGTATCAGGCACTGTGCTACACTCCAGGTATACAAAAAGAGACAAAAGATAGTTCCTGCCTTTAAGGAATTTACAATCTATTGGGGGAGACAACATACAAACAAATATAGATAAAGCAAGCTATATACATGATAATTAAGAAATAATTAGCAGAAGGGAAGCCCTAGAACTAAGAGGGGTTGGGTAAGGTTTCCTGTAGAAGATAGAATTTTAGTTAGGACTTAAAGGAAGCCAGGGAGGTCAACAGTCAGAGTGGCAGAAGGAGAGCATTCCAGGCATGGGGGACAACCAGAGAGAATGACTGGAGCCAAGAGGTGGAACAGAAAGGAGACCAGTGTCATCGGATCAAAGAGTATGTGTTAGGGAATAAGGTGTAAGAAGGCTGGAAAGGTAATTTTGTATACTTGGACTTAGGTTATGAAGGACTTTGAATGCCAAAACAGAGCATTTTGTATTTGCTCCTGGAGGCAGTAGGAAGCCACTGGAGTTTATTAAGTAGAGGGAGTGAGGGAGTGACTTGATTGGACCTGCCCTTTAGAGAGATCACTTTAGTGGCTGAATGGTAGGTGGATTGGAGGCTATTGCAGTAGTCCAGACATGAAGTGATAAAGACTTGCACCAGTGAGGGTGGGAGTGTCAGAGGAGAGAACTAGGTGTGTTCAAAAGATGTTGCTTCAGGCCTTGGCAATAAATCAGATATGGGTAGGGGTGAGAGATCATGAGAAATCCAGGATAACTTAGGTTGTGAGCCTGAGAGACAGGGAGAATGATATTGCCCTAAACAATCTTGGAGAAGATAGGAGGTGGGGAAGGTTTTGTGAGAAAGATGAGTTCTGTTTTGGACATAATGAGTTTAAGACATCTACTGGACATTTTAGTTCAAGATGTCTGAAAGGTGGTTGAAGATGAAAGATTGCAAGTCAGCAGAGAGATTGAGGCAGAAAAGGTAGATCTGAGAATCATTGGCAGAGATGGTAATTAAATCCATGAGAACTTATCAGATTACCAAGTGAAGTAATATAGAGAGAGAGAAAAAAGGAGAGGTCAAGGAGAATGAGAATGAAGAAATGAGAATGGAGAAAAGGCCATTGGATTTGACAACTAAGAGATCATTAGTAACTTTGGAGAGAGCAATTTTGATGAAATAATAAGGTTGGAAGCCAGATTGTAAGGCAGCTAGGTCATGCAGTGTGTAGAGTCCTGAGCCTGGAGTCAGAAGGACCTGAATCCAAATCTGGCCTCAGACCCTTACTAGCTTTGTGATCCTGGGCAAGTCTCTTAACCTGGTTTGCCTCAGTTTCCTTATCTTTAAAATGAGCTGAAGAAGGAAATGGCAAACCACTCTAGGATCTCTGCCCAAAACAAAACAAAAACAAAAACTCAAATGGGGTCAAAGAGAGTCAGACATGTCAAACAACAACAAAAAAGAAGAGTGAGAGACCAGAAAGTGGAGGCATCTACTATAGATGGCCTTTTCAAGGAGTTTGACTATAAAGGGTAGAAGAGCTATAAGACAATAGTGAGCAGGGATAGATGGTCAAGTGAGAGTTTTTTTTCAGGATGAGGGAGACATGGACATGTTTGTAGGCAGTAGAAAATGAGCCAGTAGAAAGGGAGAGATTGAAAATAAGTGAAAAGGAATGGGGATGATAGAGGGGACAATCTGTTGGAGGAAATGAGATAGAATGAGATGTCTTGAACAAGTAGAAGGGTTAGGCAGGGAATGCTTCCTTTTTTAGCATTGGCTAGCAATGGGTTTGCAAAAGTTTATGCTCTAGCATTAGCACTGTAATTGTTTGCAACTTTATGTACTTTTTTTTGTTGTCATTAGGCCCTCTTTACCCGATTGCTGCTTCAGGATCCAAGCAACCACTTGATTAACATGACCTGCTCCACAACATTAAACCTCTCTGCAGATCGAGATGCAGGGGAGAAGCACATTCTTTGCTACCTGTATTCCTGTTTCCTAAGAGCAAAAGAGGAGGTAGGGGAATGAGCCCATATTTCTTACAATGTATTATATCTCTTCTCTGAATGGCAGCATTTCTATACTGTTTCCCTTTTAGAATGTTAGTTTTCAGAGGTCTTCTATATATAAAGCCACTTATGTCTTCTGCATTGTGAATTTACTAAATATTCATTTACAGTAATTATAGGAGAAATCCAGTATCTACTTGTTTCTTTTCTGAGAATAGCACTACCATTCTCCCAGTCAACCAGACTTAAAACCTCTGTCATCTCTGATTTCTCCTCCTTTTCATTTTCCACATCCAGGAAATTATTGTCTTGTCCTTTCAACCTCTTAAATACCTCCTGCATACATTCCTACTGCCACCACCCTACTCCAGGCCCTCATTATCCCTGACTTGGATTGTTGTAATAGACTTTTAACTGATAACCCTGCCCTGAGCTTCCATTTCCACCTTCTGTACATCTGACATGCTGTTGTTAGAGTCATCATTATAAAGCACAGTTCATATCACCACCCTTTACATTAAAAACTTCAGTATTTCTCCATTAAGGGATAAAGTCCACATTTTTGGCCTGGAATTTAAGGTCCTTGACTGTTAAGTGTTTTCTGAACACAGCATATGGTTTTCTGCTTCTCTACTTTTGTTCACTGTTCTTTCCACTTAAAATGCCCTTCTCTTCTCAAATTCCCTTCCCACTGCCAGATTCACCTGTCCAAATTCTTCCTATCCTGTAAAGCTTTATGTAAATGCCATTTCCTCCATGAATCCTTTTCCTCATTTCCCTGCTCTGAACTCCCAAGCTACTCTGTACCTTCTATTACACTTTCATAGTTTACTTACAGCTAATTTTTTTATATGTTTTGCTTTTCCTATAAACTCTATGTTTCACAAAGACTGTAACTGTTTCTTATTTTCTTTTTTCCCATTGATTGCATACAGATTCATTCTAGGTCAAAGTGTCTCACTCTCTTCTTTCCCTTCAGATTACCAAAGTACCAGAAAACCTGCTGCCCTTTGCTGTGAGGTGTAGGAACCTAACTGTGTCTAATACCCGGACCGTCCTCCTCACCCCAGAGATTTATGTTGACCAGAATGTCTACGATCAGCTGGTAGACCTCTTGTTGGAAGCAATTCGAGGGGCCCGTAAGTATAGAAGTGAGATCTAGCAACTACAACCTTTAGAGACCTAGATAATATTAATCCCTTCATGGTCCAGCTTCATTTTGGACTCTGGTTAAAGTGAAACAAAAACTCAAAGTTTAAAAAGATGGACAAATGGTCTCCCACTGGAGACATATTTAGTTACCCTCTGTAGCTGTCAGTTTATAACCTGAATCAGTCAGATTGACTTAATCTTAACACCTAGATGAGGCAGCCACACTGATTGGGAAGGAAGGGGAAAGAAGGAAAAAAGAGAAAGAGCATGGGACATTTTGGGAAAGTAAGGCTTAGGTAGAATACCAAAATGAGAGGTTTGAAATTGGCCATGTATAATAATAAAGTCTTGCCTCTTAGGGGAACAGTAAGCTCAGTGGTCGGGTGGACCTAGCACAATGATACTTGTTTAAAAAAAAAAAAAACAAAGTGAAACAAGAAACCAAGCCTTTGGGTTTAAATACTCCTTATATGCCTGGTGTTTCAATTGATAATACACATTTATTTAAGAATTACAAAGTTCTTTCAACCCTATGAGTTAAGTAGTGCAAGTATAATTATCCTACATTTACAGATAATAAATTCATAGATTTAGAGGTGGAAGGGACCTCAGATCATCCAACCCTATCATTTTACAGATGAGGAAACTGAGGCCTAGGGAGGTTAAGTGACTTACCCACAGTCACACAAAGAGTGTCAGAAGAGGGATTTGAACCCAGGTCCTCTGGGTTTATACCACATCATGCTGCTTCAAAGGTCAAAGACTAGTGAATGTCATTTATAGGGAAACAGGATTTTTGATCAATGTGAGGAAGAAATTTCTGACAACTAGAGAGTGGTCCCAAAAACCAATCACTCAACTGTATTAAGTGCCTACTATGTGCCAGGCACTTGTTAGAATCTGAAGGTATAAATACAAAAGCTGAAACAATCCTTACTTGTAAAACATTTATATTCTAATGGTGAAAGCAAAGTATATACAGAATACATATAAAGAGAATAAATACAAAATCATTAAATACATGGAAGGCATTGGAAAGGAAGGCATGACTCTAGTAGTTGGTGTGGGGAATCAAGAAAGGCTTTATTTAGGTGTCCTTTGAACTGTATCTTAAAGGAAGAGGGGGTGGCTGATATAAAGGCCCAGAGATGGGAGATGGGGTGTGCTATGTGCGAAGAACAAAGAGAAGACTGCTTTTGCCACATCATAGAGTGAAGGATGGGGAGCAGTGTCCAGTAAAGCTGGACGAATAAGTCATGGAAAGGTGTTGAAGGTCTTTAAAAGCTCAAGAGCAGTTCCTATTTTATCCTAAAAGCACTAGGAAGCCATCAGCATTGGGTTGTCATATGGTCAGTGTATAGGATGGACTGGAGTAAAGAGATACTTGAACCAGGGAAGCTATTTAGGAGACTTTTGTAATAATCTATCTAAGATGTGTTAAAGGCCTGAACTGTTTGTTTAGGTGATATCTGTGAATGAGTGGAGAGAAATACTGTAGAAATGGCAAAATCTGACAATTGGATATAGGTGGGGTGAAGGAGAGTGAGGAGTTCAGGATGATGCCAAGGTTATAAACCTGGAAGATAATGGTACCTTTGTAAGAAATAGGGAAATTTGGAAGAGTTTTGGTGGGGAGATAATGAGTTCAGTTTTGGATGTGTTGAGTTTGAGATGTCTGTAGGACCAAGTCCAATATGAAGTGTGCTCTAGGCAATTGGGAATGCAGAATTGATGCTCAAGGGAGAGATGGATCCATGAGTCACTCTCATAGAAACAATGAATAAATCCATGAGAATGGTCTGCTTTATCAGGAGGACTTAACAGAGGTGGGATTTAAAACCATGTCCTCTGACTCCAGAGCAGGCAAGCTCTGGATTTTCCCACTGTACCATGCTGCCTGCTGCTTACCGTGCATGTTAGATCCCTGGTCCTTAGTGCAGTGCTTTGCATTTAATAAGCTTTTAATCAATGCATTTTCATTTGCCATTATGTGATTTGCCCATGATCACACATGAGTAAATGTCTGAGGCAGGATTCATGTCCTGATCTCCCAACTCCAAATCCCACAATCTTTCCATTATACCATGCTACTTCTCTTTCCAAGGAAGCCATATCCAATTGACTTGTGCTGGAGTATAAGTACAAATATGAAAAAGGGTAAAGCACCAGAGTTATTTATCCATCTTACATTTCTCTGGCCCACTTTTTCTTCCTATTTTCTTATTCCATTATTAGATTTTGAAGATGTAACTGAGTTCCTTGAAGAGGTCATTGAAGCCTTGACAGTGGATCAGGAAGTTCGGACATTTCAAGAAGTTATGGTTCCAGTATTTGACATTTTGTTGAGCAGAATAAAAGACTTGGATCTCTGTCAAATCTTGCTATACACATATCTAGATATGCTTCTGTATTTCACAAGGCAGAAGGATATTGCGAAAGTAAGTACAAATTTGAAAAGGTCCTACTAAGGCCTTTTGTGCTAAAGATCCAGTATTCTCTTGTTCTTAGATGATTTTAAAATGACTTACCTGAATGTAATTATTATCTTTAGACTTGAGAGAAACAAACAAAAACACAAGAATTGGTTTCCTCATCCTCGTTAGATTCTTAGGTCTTGACACAACAATCCAGTTGTTCCTGTACAAAGAGATCAGGAGAGCTCATTTCCATTTCCCTACAGGTTTTTGTACAGTACATTCAACCCAAGGACCCCAGCAATGGACAGATGTACCAGAAGACTTTACTGGGAGTAATTCTGAGTATCTCCTGCTTGTTAAAGACTCCAGGGGTAGTGGAGAATCACAGCTACTTCTTGAATCCATCCCGATCCAGTCCCCAGGAGATCAAAGTGCAGGAGGCCAACATCCATCAGGTGGAACTTCTCACTTGGATACCAGGCCCCAAGCCTTAAGGAAAACAAAGGGTCTTCTGAAAATAGTTGTAAATAAGGTGGTTTGAGCTCCTTTTAGGGAGCAAATAATTTTCATTGATCATTACAGAAGTAGTTGGTGTTCTATAGTAACTGCTGAAAGAAATAGCGCTCCTATTGAAGTTCAGGGAAAGCAAAAAATAAAACTGGGATTGTGCTTGAGAATAGGCTACTTCAGGTTCAGTCGTCAGTCCTCTGCCCCATGCTGCTATGCCATCTACTTTGACTTCCTCCCAAACCCTAATGTTCTTTATTACTCATTTATAAGTGAAGCCCTTAAATCCCTTCAGCTGGGTATCACAAGATAAGCCAAAAATTTGCTTTAACAAATACAGTAAGTAGGGGAGTTTTAAGCCTCCCCCATCACCAACCAATCAATATGATGGCTGTAAAGCCTTCTGTATTTAGCATCTTATCAAGAAATCTCTATTATGAAAGGCCCAGAAGTTGCAAAAGAAATCTCAAGTGGAGAGTGAAGGGCAAGATTAGCATGTTTTTGGAAATGAATGTTAGGAGTGTAAAACTAGAACTTTTTGGTGTTGTTGTTTTGTTTTGTTTTGATTTTTAAAACAGTTCATGGCTCAGTTCCACGAAAAGATTTACCAGATGCTGAAGAACTTGCTCCAGCTCTCTCCAGACACCAAGCATTGGATCTTGTCCTGGCTTGGAAATTGCCTATATGCCAACACAGGCCGCACCAAGATCTGGGCCAATCAGATGCCAGAAATCTTCTTCCAGATGTATGCCTCAGATGCCTTCTTCCTGAATCTGGGTGCTGCCCTCCTGAAGCTATGCCAGCCATTTTGCAAACCTAAATCCCCTAGGCTGCTAACCTTTAACCCTACCTACTGTGCCCTCAAAGAGTTGAATGATGAAGAGAGAAGGATAAAGAATGTGCATATGAAAGGTAAAACAGAAACAACCTGACAAATCTATATCATCTACGTGTTGTCCAGTGTAGTCTCTTTTCTTATATTTTCACCTTCTTTAGTCTTTCTGAGGGAAAAGAGGTGAGACAGAGGAGAGAGATGTAAGAAAGGTGACATAAAAATGAATGAACAACTATACTACATCTGGTAATTTTCAGTTGGACTGTTGATTCTACCTTGAGTCCTTTTTTTCTGGAGTTAGCAGCTAAGAGAGGGGTTACAGGTTGCTAATTTTGTCCTTTTTTTTTTTTTCTAAAGGTTTGGATAAAGAGACCTGTTTGATCCCTAAAGAGAGTGACCAGGAGATGCAGTTTGCCCAAAACTATAACCTGGTAACAGAGAACCTGGTTCTGACACAGTACACCTTACACGTGGGATTTCACAGGTTTACATCTCTTCTATTCTATGATACAATCACTGTCTCTAGCCAAGATTGACCTAGGTGAATCTCAGAATATAGTCTTATTCAAGATTTCAGATTCACAGGAGGTCCTAACAGGGGAAAAAAAAAGAACACTGAATGTATTGTTCCTTATTTGAAAAAAACCTTTAAAATTGTAGTTATGCCAGTCTCAATCTACAAAATGTTCACCAGCACCTTGTGGATCAACAATTTTAAGTCTTACCATTGGTCCTTTTTACCACACTCTTTTGGGAAGACTGAATTGCAGTAATTAATCAAGCATTTATTAAATGTCTACTATGTTCCAGGCACTGTGCAAGGCTTTTGGGAAACAAGACAAAACGTGCTCTCAAGGAGCTTACATTCCATCAGAGACAACACATATAAGTGTGTTCAGAATAAATATATACAGAATAAATAAAAGATAAATGACATAGTTATGGATCCCCCTGAATTCAAATCCAGCCTCAGATACTAACTAGCTGTGTGACCTTGGGCAAGTTACTTAACCTCTGTTTGCCTCAGTTTCTCAGCTGTAAAATGGAGATAATAATTGCACCTCCCTTGAAGGGCTGTTGTGAGGATCTAATGAGATAGTATTTGTAAAGGGCTTAGTACAGTGCCTGGAACATAATAGGTCCTGTAGAAATGCTTATTCCCTTCCCTTCCTCCTTCCTCCACTAGCAATTGGGGAATCAGGAAAGGCTTCATCTATAAGGTGATCTTTGAGCTGAGTCTTAAAGAAATCAAAGGATTCTGTGAGTTAAAGGTAAGAAGGCAATAGTGTATTTTAGGCATGGAAAATGGCCAGACCAGAGACATAAAGAACTGAGATGGAATGGCATGTGTGAGGAACAGAGAGGCGGCCAATTTGGCTAGACTGCAGAGTTCAGGAAAAGAGAGCAATGTACAAGGGGAACTGGTAATGTAGATTGGGGCTAGGTGTGAAGGGCTTTAAAAGCCAAACAAAGGAGGTTCTATTTTATCCTGGAGGCAATAGGGAGAGAGTGGTGCCTGAGCAGGAGAATGACATGGTCATACCTTCACTTACNGTGAAGGGCTTTAAAAGCCAAACAAAGGAGGTTCTATTTTATCCTGGAGGCAATAGGGAGATAGTGGTGCCTGAGCAGGAGAATGACATGGTCATACCTTCACTTAA